TCAGAAAGAGTTGGATGAGTTTAATGGTGATTACAAATGTATGGCAACTGGGAAAACTCACTCTGATCATTTTGATAAGAAAAGAACTCCCAAATTTGTTGGTGAGGGCCTCAGACACAACACAATAGCCTAAATCAAGTGTCTTGAGGAGGTAGTGCTGCCCTGGGTCAAGAGGGTGGCTGCTGGAAGACCCTAAGTCTAGCAACAGAACTCTACACCATGCCACACAAGCAGGAGAACACAGTCGTGGGTGTCAGACAATTTCTGCCCTTACATCTGGCCACCTAATTCCCCAGACTGCAACCCCTCTTGATTATTATGTGTGGGGCACAGTTGAGTGAGAGACCAACAAAACTCCTTGTAACACTAAAGATGAACTGAAAGCAAGGATTATGGCAGCATTCATCAACTTAAGCAAGGAGACCATCCAGAAGAGTTGGAGGAGAGGCCAAAGTTGTCTGGAGGCTGTGGTTGAAGCCAATGGCGATTTTATTGAATAAATTTACTCTTCAGTATTTTGAGATATTTTTGTGCAATTTTGGTAAATATATCTATTAAAATGAGATGCCAGTATTATTTTCATTTTTGCATAATTCAGACAATTTATCCATCACCCCCTGTGTGTGTATATATATATATATATATATATATATGGAGGGGGGAGCTGTGTACTCATTTTATGAGCACACCTGTTTGTTAGGAAGGCTAACAAATCCCCTTTGTAGATGTCTCTCACCTGTTTGCCTATGACAGTGTTGGTGAACAATAACGAGTGTCATAGCAGTTCAGTGTGAGTTTCATCACCAATTCAACATTCATCAAAATCAGGTTGTTCCCACACATAACACAATCTTACATTGCTTCATGCACTTCATACACGGGGTACACTAACGAATAACAGACTAACGAGGGCTTCACAAATGATATGTACCCCAGGAAAATTGGAACAAGCTTTGTTGCAGTCAAAATTGCTCTGCTCAGAGGCATGCTACTGAACTTGGCATCGATAATTATTCGGTAAGGCATATTTTGCATGAAGAACTGCATTTCCACCCCTACAAATTGGTCATTGGGCAACAGTTGAGACCAGGGGACTATGCACATTGGCTTAACTTTGCACATCAGGTGGAAACAATTTTTGAGGCAAATGACAACTTCATTTTGTTAATGAATAATGAAGCTCATTTTCATTACAAAGGCATTGTAAATCAACAGAATTGTCGTTATTGGGTTCATGAAAATCCAAAAAAAGTGCACAAAAGACCATTGCACAACCCAAAAGTTACAGTCTGTTGGAAAAGCTGGTGTCATTGGTACTTACTTTTTTGAAGACCATAATGGAAATGATGTTACTGTGAGATGATAAACGACTTCTTTGTGCCTGAATTATGATGAATTATCCGATGTGTGTGGTTTCAGCAAGATGGGGTGATGGTCCATACAGCCAGACCATCAATGGACATTCTTTGCTCTCTCTTCAGTAACTGCCTCATCTCTAGGTTTGCTGACACTCCTTGGCCCTTTCGGTCTCCTGATTTGTTTGATTATTTCTTGTGGGGAAACCTCAAGGCATGTGCGTATGAGCATAAGCTCCATACATTGGATGATTTGAAGGAAGCTATTTGCATGGAAGTTTCCCAAATTGACAGTGTAATGCTGGAAAGAGTGGAGGCCAACTTCCAAGAATGCCTTCAAAAATGCATCAATGAAAGTAAACACCATATGAGGGATGTTGTTTCCCCATACATGATTTTGTCAAATACTAATTTGAACACAGTGATATCAATAAAATTCTTTTGAAGCTAAAATGTGAATTTTTCAAAAACATTTGTCCTCTCTGCCTCACACTGTACATCACAAACAGATCACATTCAGAGCTAACACTATTATAAAGTCATAGAATAACTCAAGAATATTTTCCAGTGTCTTCAGTTTGAAAGCATTTTGTAGAAATTGGCATTTGAGAAAAGCATTATTAGAAAAAGATTGCAAAGGATGCAGAGTTAGTATGAGCAGCATTTTTAGAAAATGAATTCACCATTCAAGGTCCATGCTTTCACACTAAAAAATGAGAATTTACAGAAAATTCTCAATCAGTTTTGGATAAATTACCCTAGAAATCAAAATTTTTAATTGTATTTTTTTCCACTTCAAAACCAAAGAAAAAGGTGAAGTAAGGAAGGCAAATTCAAGTTTAGGTTGATCATGCAATGTTGTCATCATCAACACAATAAACACAGAACTCCTACCATGAAACCAAAGAAAGCAGGAAACTTCAGGCCAATGTATCATGTTCATCTGCCCAAGGGAGGGTGCCCATTCGTCCAGCAAACAGGATGCTCTCAAAAAGCTCATCCCGACAGATCATCGGACCAAACACATACGTCTGCAACATAGAATCAATATCAAACAAAAAAAAAAAAAGAAGAAAAGTAGTCACATTGTAGCCTCATTTTCATTTTATAATTGTGGTAGTAGTCACAGTGAAAACCTGTTGTCCTAACAGACAAGAATAAAAATGAAAATCAAAGTAAGACTATCACACAAATGAAAATGACAAAGAAAAAAATGAAAAAAAGATCACGTAAATAAAATAAACCGTAATGACATTTGTTTAAGTAAAAAAAATTTGGAGTGGATTTTTAAATTTTTAAAAATAGGACTTAAATCACCAAAATTTTACTGGAGCATAAAATCTACATTAACATTTTCTGAGACTATCAACAAAAGAAAAAAATTATTTTTAGCAAAGAATTAATAGTCAAAAACTTGCAGAAAAAGTATGTCAATAAAAATGTAAAAAATAAAATTCTTACATATATTTAGTTTATTTTTCTTTTTAATTTAAATTTGTTTTGCAATAAGCATTCTTTACCCATAACGATTAATGTAAAATGTAGCATTAATTATAGGTTAATAACTAGAAGATATTAATGGCAAATCTTCAGCATTTTTCAAAAAGAAATTGTAACAGTCATTTGTTGTATTTCTACTCAACCCCATATATAAGGCCAACATCATGCAAAATGACTGGGGAAAATCTAGCTTTGGATCATCCACCCTGGAGGAAAGCAGTACCCAATTTACCAGTGAGTACTGCTTTCCTTTGAGTAGAATCATGTTGTGTTTGAAAAAAAAAGCCTTAATTTTCCTGAAAATGTTGCCATGGAATTTGATCTGTATATTGAATGTAGTCATGTCTGTCTAAGTAGAACATGCCACAAATATCCTCAAAGACACCATACACAGAAAAAAAAGTCATTCAGTATATGTTATGTTGCATTTATGCAACAACTACTAAATATGAAATACATGTCAAAAATACTAATGTAAAATGTAGGGAGCTCAATATACAATATAAAAAAAGCTACAGAGCCTACAGCACAATTTGTCCTTTTTCTTCCACCCTAAATATATATATATATATATATATATATATATATATATATATATATATATATATATACCATCCTTTTTTCTTAGCTAGCCATTCTTTTTCATTCTTTTACATCCCTACCTGAAAATTGTATAATAATTTGAAACTGCCAGTCACAGAATTATAGAGGTATGTGTGTAAAGAGTTCTTATTATGACTCCAGTGTCAAGACCATTATTATTCTGAAGTCCATAGGAGTGTTTTCCACTTGATTCAATTACCCACGAGGTTAATACAGATGACCCATTAATGACCATCATCTCCAAAATGGGTCTAGCAAAGTAAAGAAATGTAATTCAAACTTGTCTGAAATTAAATAAACAAAAGCAATAGCCAATTGAGAAAGTTATAAAAGTCACAATTAAACAAAAACTACAAAGAAGAGAGGTTGATCTGTCAAAAATAAAATTCTTGTTAAATAAGAGGAAATTAAAAAAAAACAAAACAAATAAACTATTGAAATATTTTTGCAAGAGTACAAAATTTTATTAAAGCACTAAAAACAGACTTGTCAAAACAAGAAAAATATTAATAACAAAAAAATAATATTACTGTAAAGTGGTAATGGGGAGACATGGTGGAGTAATGGATAGCGGCTCGGATTCAGGAATCGGAGAGCCAAGATGGAATTCCAGTCAAATCCATTACATTCACTTATGGGAAAGGGTATGAATCTTCTTGTTCTCCCCTCAGCTATGGGTAAATAGCAGGACAGACCAGGTTCTATAGCCTTGAATGACAACTGGTCTACCACAGAAATTAATGGCAACCTACTGCGGGTAAAAAAATCTGCCTCATCAGTCATGTATCGAAAGATACATGATCGCCTAAGCATGTATCACACATGGAACATAACTGACTTAAAAAGTGGTAATATCAAAAAAACAATACAATTAACTAAATTGGTTTATTAGTTTTCTCTCATCGGATCTAAATCGAGAATGAAAAATATGCACAGCAACTAAAAATGAACACCAAAGACCAAATGTTATATAAAAAATATAAGACTTACAAACTAAATACTTTTAAGCCTACCAATCACTCTTTCTTTCTGCTTACAGAGAGATGGCTAGTAGGACTTAATGTAAACAGAATTCAACACCTTGAAATAGAAATTTTAGTTGAAGGTGTTGGAATCTGTTTACATCTTTCTCTAATCAGAAGGAGTGGTTGATAGGCTTAAAGTAATTAGCCTGCAAGTATTATATTTTTTTTATATAATATTGGTATTTGGTGTTCATTTTTAGTCACTGTGTACATTTTTTGTACTTGATTTAGCTCTGATGAGAGATGACTGATAAATCAATTTTTTGTTAATCATGTTGTATTTTGATATTACCACTTTATGGTTGTCTATCTTTTTTTGTTAATCATGCTGTATCTCAATATTACCACATTATGGTTTTAGCTATCTTTTTGTTAATTATACTGTATCTCGATATTACCACTTTACGGTTATATCATTTTTTTTTTTGTTACTCATCTCTTTTGTGAACATTTTTCTTGTTTTGACATCTCTGTTTTTACCATTTTAATTTAAAAATAAAAGAAAGTACTTTTATACCTTTTCTGAATCTGCCATTGTAACTTCTATTGCCATGCCACCACCAGGTAACCAAGGATATGGCTTAGCCTAAAAATAAGACAATAACAAATGATAATTTCTGTTTAATGTTTAACAATATCTTTCAACAAAATAAAAATCCTTGATAGCTGTTGGCATAATTTTTTTTAAAAATGTCATTATTAAACACTGATATACTGAGATTAGTGCTTTCATTTTTGTTGTTACAGTTATATTATTTCAGCTGTTATACTCTCCAGCCTTCATCAGTTGTCATTTGTAGTTGATCATGTGTGGAAAGAAAAGTGTGATTTATAAGCTCCTGAGGAATTAAATCAAAATAATAAAGAAAAAACACTAGAAAACAAGATAATTAAAAGAATCAGTGCACATATTAAGCTGTAATAAATTCCTCAGTAGACCTAGCATAAAAATAAATGCCATATGAGAACTGTTAATAAAAAGAAAGAATTTTAGGCAATAATTATCCATTTAATCACACTAGCATAAAAAGTCACATACTTTGATTCATTTTTCAAGACAAACACTAGGTTTAAAGTTCCAAGTTTCCACTACTGAATTATATGATGGCTCAGTGGTTAAGAGTATTGGATAAGTGGATGTAGTTAACTGGTGGTTGTGAGATCAATATGAATCGGGTAGTATAAAAAAAATCATATACTCTAGTTCAGGGGGAGAAACAAGCAACATAACGAGGATATATTTCCAGCAAGAACATACCATGCTACTTCCATGGAGTTGAATCAGCCCCATTTCCTCCATATTTCAAATGTAAGGTGAAAGTTCTATTCAGCTTTTTTCTACCAATTCAGATCTTTACAACTGGGACATACCATGTTACTTCCACAGAGTTGAATCAGCCCCATTCCCTTCATATTCCAAATGTAAGGAGAAAGTTCAACTGTAACAGCTTTTCCCCACAAGAATTGCTATTTTGTAGAACAGGCTCCTATGTAGATGCTTCCCTGAACATTACAATCTTAACCTTTTCAATAGTTAATTATTATTAATCCTCTTTATCCTCATAAGTTTCATATCACATATCTCATTTACCATAACAATTTTAACCTGAGCGGCTCTTGAACCTTGCATTAGGTGAACTTTAGTATTAAAAAAACAATAATTGACTGATTCAATTGTCCCCTATGCATTAATGATGGAATGAGAACAATCTACTTCAGGGACTGAATAAATGATTCAGCGCAAAATTATTGGAATAATACCTTTAAAAGTAAAGAAGGAAAGCAATCAAGACAAGAAATCTATTCTGAGTATATCAGAACAAGGCCAGCACAATCAAACCCTCAATCATGATGACTTGTGACTTTGTGCTAGCACAGCCATCACTGGCCCCCAAGGGATCTATCTACCTAATTTCACTCACAGGGCTTGGATCAATCCATGGTATGGTTTTCAGGCACTTTCCAAACCTTTAAAAAAAAGACTAATCCCTCATGTTTTAATATATTTGTCAAAAGACAACAAATGGTAGCTGAACCCAACTGCAAATTTCATTCATGAAAACTGAAATTTGAATATTTAAAAAATATTTGTTTATATGTGATTCAAATGCAAAAAAAAAAAATGCATTTAGCTTCCAAATATTGTTTACAGAATTGAATTTACTTTTCATATATATGATGTTGTTAACAACATTTCAACTGATCTAGTCTTCAATTTTTAGTGTTTATTCTGTGAAACAAAAAGAAAGTCAGTTTTCTCAAAAAAAAAAAAAAAAAAAGCAATAGACAAAATGTTTTCAGAGCAGTTCAACTGTGCTTCAACAAATGCTAAAACAAATTACAAACAATTATTTTTGAGCTTCCAGACTTGAGCAATACTACTGATTAGGCTGTATAAAGTTAAGTTCTTAAGTGTTTACAACCACATTATAATTATGTTATATAGGCACGTGGCCAAGTGGTTAGATTGTTTGCTTTCTGACTGAAAGAACAAGGTTTGAATCTCACCATAGTCAATTTGTCAAGAAGGAGACTTCTTAATGTTATCATTCTGGAGGGGACTGATCCCAGCATGTGGCACCTATGGAAAGTGCCTGAAAACCATACCATGGGTTGATCCAAGCCATGTGTGTGAAATTGGGTAGATAGATCCCTTGGGGGCCAGTGATGGCTGTGCTAGCACAAAGTCACAAGTCATCGTGACTGAGGGTTTGAGTGTGCTGGCCTTGTTCAGATTGTTGATCAGACTAGATAACATGCTCTTTCCCAGAAACTGAAACTGCTCAGCATAGTTGCAGTATAAACCACTGGTAGGCTCTGTGGGTGTTGAACAAACACAAAATGTGCCTGAGCAATCATCTGCAATAGGGATTAGCTAGCTGCCCTAGTAGATGGGCATCCTTGAATACAAGCAGCCAGCCATAGATAGATAATTATGTTACACCCAAATAGACATACATATATGTAACAATATTGATTTTCCTTCCTTTTCTCCAATTAATATACATAATATGAGGCTGGTCATATGACCCTTAATGAGAACAAACATTTGTAGAAATTGATGAAAGAAAATATGGCTCTGATTTGAGTAGAGACAAACCTTTACAATATGATGTGCCTCATTTATGAATAAAGAAAGCCTTTTGCAATATCCACTAGCTTACCATTTCAGGGTTGGAGAAAAGGCATGTAACACATTTCTATACTTTGTCAACATATTCTCTTTATAGGAAATAAAACTTCATTTATGTTCTCATTTCTCTCTAGCTATTTTTATTATTCATTATAAATAAAATCCAAAGAATCTGCAATGTTATAGGTCATGACCTGACATCCCAGCTTCAGTCACTTTCCTACTGTTGTAATGTAGCTTCCCCATGCTTTTCCTACAGATAGTTTCATGGTAAATGTTCCAATGGTACCTAGGCTTTATGAATTTAAGTGCAGTACTAGATTGTCAACAAGGTTTCATCATCTTGCAATTGAATTGGCTAGATGTAACCTGATGATGCTTGATGAATTGTATGTTACAATTCTTTTCAATGATGGGTTGCACATCTTTGATCAGATTGACACTATCTTATAATATTTGATTTTTGAATACATAAAAATTACTTACTGCATTTATCCATTATTGTACATATCAGTTGTCCCCAACTCTGCAGTTTCATGACACTGTGTCCATTTTTCAAGGGGTTGATTCATATATTAAATATTTCCAATTGTATCTATTTTTTCTTCATTTTCAAATTTGTGTCTTTTTTTTTTTTAACTCCTTTAGGGACATGCTCATGTTTCTACATGAGCTCATGTGTTCATTCATAAACATAGTTGTTTTTCAATTGTATATTTTGTAATTTTTATTTTTCATTGTTATTTTTGTTTGTATATATGTATCAAATAAAATTAACATGGAAGAAAAAATTAATATAGGAGCAACTGAAACAACTTTAAAAGAAAGATTTAATAATCATAAAATGTCATTTAAAATAGACAGATATGCAAATAATACATTATCAAAATATATAAAATATATACCAACTAAAATTAAATGGGAAATCATAAGAAAGTACCCCCATATAATATTAATAATAGAAAATGTAGACTGTGTTTAGAAGAAAAATTTTATATAATAAATTTCAATAATCAAATTAAATTATTAAACAAAAGAAATGGATTAATGGCTATATGCAGACATTTTAATAAATATTTACTTTGCAACTTAAATACTAATATAACAAGATGCAAAAAATACAACAGAAAATAATATAAATTAAATAATAATATAATAAACACAATGTTATATATATAAGCAATCAAAGATATACATACATAAAAAATAACAACAAAAAATAAAAATTACAAAATATACAATTGTAAAACAATTACATTTATGAATGAACACATGAGGACATGTAAAAACATGAACATGTGCACATACATAATGGAGTTAAAAAAAGATGAAAATTGAAAAAAAAATCGGATACAATTGGAAATTTTAATATACAAAACAACCTCTTGAAACGTGAACATGGTGTGACAAAACTGTGGAGTCAGGGACAATTGATATGTACATTTACGGATAATTACAGTAATTATTTTTTTATTCAAAAATCAAATTTATCTATGTTCAATTCCAAATATTGAACACTATAGTAAAAATCTGTTCATTATGAAATTAAATCTTCATCATATATATATATATATATATATATATATATATATATAAAGTCGGGGAAATAAATATTCGTACACTTGAAAAATTGTATTTTTATAAATTTAAAAGCCTTAAATAAAATAAATCTCGGCACATGTATAAAGACACATATTATTAAAAAATAATAATAAACTTAATTAATTCTTATTCTAACAGAAATCAATGCATTTTTTTTAATTCTAACTGGTGAAAAAAGTATTCGTACAAATCAATTATTAGAATAAAATAATCAATTAATTATGAAAAAATTATATTCTAGAATGTTCCAGTAATGTTATCTGTAATTATAGTTAATGCTATTAGCCATTATCAGAGCATTCTGCAGTTTCTACTCTTACAAGAAGGTTCTAATAATGCCTAAAAGTAAAGAATTGACTATTTCACAAAAACAACACATTTTGTCTCTTTGGAAAGATAGGAACAGTTACAGAACGATTTCTAACAACTTGAATATTCCTTTTACTACAATTGCTTCGTTCATTGCAAGGTTTAAAACTCATAACAGCGTCGAAAACCAAAGACGAACAGGTGCTCCGAGGAAGATTTCTCTAAGATCAGCAAGGATATTAGGACGCCAGATCCAACAAAATCCACAGGTTACCCGAGAAGAGCTGCAGGATAAAGTAACCAAGTGTACAATAAGTAATGAACTACACAAAAAGTCTGAAATCACGCATCCCAAGGAAGACTCCACTCCTCTTGAAACGACACAGAGATGCTAGGCTAAAATCCGTTAGAGAGCATAAGGATAAAGAATATTCGTTTTGGGAAAAAGTACTATGGACAGATGAAACTAAAATAGAGTTGTTTGGTCATAATTATTGAAATCATGTGTGGAGGAAGGACAGTGAAGCCTACTTACCAAAGAACACATTGCTAACTGTAAAGTTTGGTGGTGGCAGTATCATGATCTGGGGCTGTTTTTCTGCAAAATGTGTTGGCAGAATATCAATAATAGATGGCAAGATTAATGCCGAAAGCTACCAGAAAATCCTGCAAGACAATTTAATACGTTCTGTTGAGAGACTTCAGCTACCTCCTGATTGGGTTTTCCAACTGGATAATGATCCTAAGCATACCGCTAGATCTACAAGGAAATGGTTAGCTGAAAGTAACGTTAATGTCTTGCAATGGCCAAGTCAGTCCTCAGACTTGAACCCAATTGAGAATTTATGGCGATATTTGAAAATTCAAATTGGGGAAAGAGCACCAACAAATATCAAGAATTTGAAGACAATATGCCAAGAACAATGGGACAAAATACCACTCAATGTGTGCAAATCATTAGTTGAGATGTACAGGAATAGACTGGTAGCTGTTGAACTCAATAAAGGATATTCCACAAAGTATTAAATTAAGTTAATATGCTTTTTTTGTTTTGTACGAATACTTTTTACATCAGTTAAAATGAAAAAATGCATTAATTTCTGCTAGAATAAGAATTAATTAAGTTTATTAGTATTTTTTAATAAAATGTAGCTTTACACATAAAATGTATCAAAATTTGTTTTAGCTTTTACATTTATAAAAATACAATTTTTCATCTGTACGAATATTTATTTCCCCCCACTGTATATTTATATATCACTTTGAAACATTGGTTCTCATCCAATCAGCAAAGTTAAGCAACATCAAGCTTGGTCAGTACTGAGATGGGTGACCATTTGGGAATACCAGGTGCTGTATGCTTGGATGTACAGATTGTATAATATATAATGGAATGAGAGCTGATTTTTAATTCCAGTTGAGTTCATTACATTCACTTATGTGCAAATACATTTAGGAAGACATGATCCATCTCTTCTTCCCCACTAGCTATAGGTAAATAGCAGAACAGACTGGGTCCTATAGTCTTGGTTGGAAACCAGTCTAGAAGGAAAACTCTGAATTCAAACCTACCTGTAGAAGTTTGGCAAAGAACAGACAAATTTCTTATAAGAGCTAACAGTTAACATCCATCAAAAATCTTATTAAAAAAACAACAACCTGCGATTGTAGTATCATTTGACATGTGGCACACTGTGACATAGTGCTATGATGGAGACAATATGCATTGCAGGTGATAGGCAATTGAAAACTAAGCAATTCACTTATGAAGGTTGTTCATTGAAAAATTTCTTGAATTATCATCCGTTGTTCTTGATAGTAGAATCCAACCATACTACATATGAATCCATCACCTCTGCCTACCTTGACTTGTTTACAAAGCATTCCTTTTGTAGTCAACCCCAATGACATTTGCTCGACAGAACAGCTCTACCTCAACTTGTTTACGAGTCACAGTCAATGCAGCAACCTCCATTCCACAGAACTGGCCTCCCAACACCTGCTATCACCTCGGCCTACCTCAATTCATTTAGAAGTCATTCTCTTCGGAGTCGACATCAGCTGCACAGAACAGGTCTACCTCAACTTGTTTTCAAAGCATTCCCTTCACAGTCAACACCAGTAGCCTCCGATCCACAAAACAGGGCTACCAAGATCATGCCAATCCAATGTCACCCCATTTCAACATGACAGGTCAACCAACCAACAACACAAGCTACAACCATGACCGCCATCAACCAAACTTGCACCAACTATATCCTGTGACCTCAGCCATGCCAGCACAAGAAATGATTCAACTCCTAACACTACACGTACACCCAATCATTATTCCTGTACTCTCTACCAACAATAAACATTGTTTCACTCTAATCCTTGTTATTCCTTTCTCTCACTACCACATGTTTAATATAACATTTATAAAATACGAAGATGAATCTGCAATGTTACTGGTCCTGACCTGGTATCTTGGCTTCAATCATTTTCCCACTACTGTAACAAAATTTTCCTGTGCCTTTTCTGTAAATATTTTCATGGTAATTGTTCTGATAAGCTCTCCTCTTTGGTACCTCGACTTTATGAATGTAAGCACAGTACTAGATTGGCAGCTAGGTCTCATCATTTTACAGCTGAAATTGCTAGGTATAACTGTAAGTTCTATGCTAGCAGCTTTTTCTCTCACACTTCTCACTTGTTGAACTCTCTTCTGTCTTCTTGCTTCCCAGACAACTTTGATCTTCAAATATTTAAATGCAATGTCAAGCATTATCTTTTGTCTTCTTAATTTTTATTTCTTTATTGTTCTATCTCCTTAATAATGTTTTCTTTTTCTTCATATTCTCTCACACTCAGTAGCCCCTTGTGTCTTAGTGGCTTTATTGTCTTGCTTTGAGTGAAATGATTAAAAAAAATTAGCTCAAGCAACTATTGGTAACGTCATTACTTTTAAATAAAACCAGCTATAAACTGACTAATTCTTTTTGAGAAGAGTCAGTTTGTACCCAGAAGATGCTTTTTTCTTTTACTGGAATTTCAAGTGTTAAAATAATGGAAATCAATTCTGATAAATGTATTTAAAAAAATCTATAATAAATTATAAGTTGTCATAAAAGTGGATTTATGCACATATACTTTTACATTTTTTAAGCCCCCCCTCTAAATCATTTTCTTCAACAAGGTTTAGTTTTATTTATGCTGTTTAAAACCAAATTCAAGTCAGAAAAATTAAAATACAACTAGATTAAAAATGTCTCAGAAATTTCCCTGAAAATGTAAGCTACCACTGCCTTTAAAAGGCACTGCCTAATATATTGTTTAAATTCTATACAAATGTGGGGGTCAGTAGGTGGAAGTTATCAAAATAGGGGGTTACTTGTTTACAGGTGATTATCTTCAGATAACGCCCTTAATCCAAATATACACCAATTTATGGCCTTTTAAAAATCCATGCAATGATAATTAATTCGAAGATATATATTGCATGTACTGATAAAAATTTATCTCTTAAAATAAAATATGCAATATTCAAAGAGTTTATAAATTAATACCAAAGAGTTGTTGTGTTGAACGTCCAAGTCCTTTAGCATATAAGAGAGAGAAAAGTCCTTGTAAATCCGTATGTATGTAAGTAATTCTTGATAGTAGTAATCCTTTCTACTCTCTCTCGGATTTTTAGGTGTCCAAAAATTTAGGGTAGAGGATGAAACTATTTCAGTGGCTGGGTCGTTTACCTGGTCATCACTATTATGCTTTTACATTTTTCCAATACAATGAAATTCATTCCAGAATTGTTTCTTGATTTTTCATTGGTTCACAGATGTGAGTCATGATTGGTGTGGGGTTACCACACTAGCTCATTTTCTTCACTACATTTAGAAATGATAACATTTTGGTCTCTTTTATTTATTTCTTTATTTTTTTTATCTTTTTGTTTTTATTTCTTTATAGCAAATCAAAATGGTTTGCCAACTTTTAGTTTTTATTTATTTTTTTTTAAATAGTAAACTTCTTATTTTTCTATCACTGAGCACGCGTGTACAAGTGATTTCAAATCGTTTTACAAATGAAAGAAAATATCAAAAACCTTTTCCTTGTTCTCTTTTTACTTATTTCAGACACAAAGTAGAAGTTTCTGAGCTGAATAAAAACATTCTATTATTACATTGTTCTTGGCTAGCTAGACATTATGTTCTTCGTTACCATTCTTTTTGCCTTCATATCACAGACCTCATTTATTCTTTGTCATTCTTTTTGCCTTCATATCACACACCTCATTTATTCTTTGCCATTCTTTTTGCCTTCATATCACAGACCTCATTTATTCTTTGCCATTCTTTTTGCCTTCATATCACAGACCTCATTTATTCTTTGCCATTCTTTTTGCCTTCATATCACAGACCTCATTTATTCATTGCCATTCTTTTTGCCTTCATATCACACACCTCATTTATTCTTTGCCATTCTTTTTGCCTTTATATCACAGACCTCATTTATTCTTTGCCATTCTTTTTGCCTTCATATCACAGACCTCATTTATTCTTTGCCATTCTTTTTGCCTTTATATCACAGACCTCATTTGAAGGGCTGGCTCTCAACCTTTGTTTTGGATGAACTTATAATAAAAATAAAAAAGAGCTTTCGAAATTGTATCTGATTTAAACAGAAGTGAGTATAATGGTGAAAATATGAATATTTGAACAAGAATGGTAAGAAGTTTGTCATGAAGAAATTTCAAGAATTTCTGAATGCTGCAAACAAATTCTATTTTTAAATAAAATGATTTTACAATTGAAATCCACTATGAAGACAAAAGAGAAATTGCTTGCTTACACGTTCCAGTTTGATGATATCTGAAAGAGGCAGGACAAGGTTTTTGCTTGAAGGAAATTTTGTTCTCTCAAAACACAGAAAACTGAAATTATAAAAGGAAATTAGTTGCATTAAAGAAGAAAAAATAAATGACCCCCCCCCAAAATCATTAAACAGTATATCTGTAAAAAAAAAAAGTGTACTTATCTTAGCTGACACATTTTGTCCCCAGATTTGTCTTTGTAAAGTCCACCAGATGATGAAACATGTTGGCTAAGATAAGTTTCCCTTTTGTCTTATTCATATTAGTAGAATGTGAAATAAGCATGCCAAATTCAAATTACAGGCTAGTCTGTAGCATTCACTTTCACACTAATGCCATTGGGGAAAGCGTGACTCAATTTCTTCTCTGCAAGCTATGAGTTAAATAGCAAAGTAAAAAGAGCTCTTGGGTGGCAGCCAGTCTAGGAGAAGGACAAATATGAATCCAAACTGTGGAAAAGACAACTGGGAAACATTTATAGTATCTTTCCCAAGATGTGATTGCAATTCATAGCTAATAAAGAAAAAGAATCTGTGGAGACCCATGATCACCTACATCTTGAAGAGATATGGTATTAAAATATATTTTTTGTAAAATGAAATTAAAACTTTATAATACTAAAACAAGGGTAATCTGATGACTTTTATGACTGCTCAACAAATGCAAAATATATTAGATTAAATCATAAGTAATTTTCGGTAGCTGATTATGACAACAAATGTATCATCCTAACTAAGCATTCCTTAATTATATCATCACAATTGATGAAAAGTGGGTTATATACAATAATGTTCAATGAAAGAGGCAGTATATTAACAATGATAAATCTCAACAACCAACCCCCAAACCTGGAGCCCATGGAAGAAAAATAATGATATGCATGTGGTGGGATCGTCAGTGTATTATTTATTTACTCATATGTACTAAAGTTCCATAGACTTCCTGTGGAGTATAGGGATACACCTCTCAGCTAGGCATTGCTGCTGTGGTGTCCATAGCAAGTAGCAGGTTTTTATGAAATGGAGTTGCTAGTTCCAGAGTTATCCTTCTCAACTGGTTACCAACCATGGCTAAAGAGTCCAATCTGTCCTACTATTTAACCCATAGATGGAGATATATTCTTACCTTTCTCCAGAGTATTTGTGCATAAGTAAATGCAGTTAACTCAGCTCTCTGATTTCTCATTCTGAGCCGCTATTATACCATCCAACACAGCTTATTTAGGGATCTTGTCAGATATAGACTCTCATATGGACATCATGCATGACATCAAACTTGTTCAGTCTAAATCATCAACTGTATACAACCATTTTCTCACATCAATGATTAAAATAGATTTGAGCAAATGAATTCTCTAAGTCTTAAAGACAACACTTTTTATGGACTGGCACTACAGAATCACAAAGAGCATGTAATTTGAAGAGAAAATAATGACATGAAGATGTTAGGAAGTAAGCCCCCATCAAGACTAGAAAGAGCAACAGCAGTTAGTAGACCTGAGAAAGCTATTTTCCTTAAAAACTATTTTAAGAGAAAGATTTTATAAATTTCAACTGACAGTAACACTATTTGATCAATGAATGCCTGAACATTTCCCTATAAGGAAACAATTAATAACCCCATTACCAAAATGTCATTTCAAAATCAACAGAATTTGATTCAAATATTTCTGATTTTGGTACATATCTATTTAATGTTCAATCTTGATTTAATATTTCTTATTTAGTGTATTAACCTTTATCTAGTTGGAGGCAAAAATTGCCACTGTAGAATTCTCTCTCTTAACACCTGTAGGTGCATTCTGTTGCCTTGAGAGGGTTAATATAAATAAACAATTGTTAACTGTTATTGCTGGTATTTTAAGCTGGAAATACTCTACTCCCACTTTGGCACGAGGCTAAACTTCTGTTTTCTGATGCCATTTTGAATTCTTCTACACTCTACATGAAGTGTAACATCGATTAAACCCATGTTAATTTTGCTGTAATTTTTTGGAAACAAAAATGGCCACATCAACATTCAACGAAGCCTTTATTCAGGAGTTTTCCTTTGATTCGGATTTTGATGTTGATTTTGAAGGTTTTACTCAGACAAATATTCATGGTGAAGTGGTCAGGAGATGGAGATGCTAGTGACAGGGAGGAAAGCTTTGATGACCATGAGGTGCAAAGTGGCTACTATCATCCCTGGCTGACTAATTTTATAGAAGCTACTAGCGCCATGGATGTACCTGATTGCCTTCCTGAAGGTGAATTATTTTGTCTATTTATAAACAACAAAACAAATAAATGTGCTATTCAGGTGAAGTAAAGGAGAGGAAACAAATACTGGTGTCTACTCATATATAAACACATGGAAGGATGTCACTTTTGATGAAATGAAGGCCATGTTAACCATTTTGCTTCTTATTGTACCCCAGAACACCACAAAGAGTAATAAAAGTTAAAGTATGTTAAATTGTTAATATATTTGTTTTTTTTATTTTGTGTTTTAAGTTTTTTGTTTTCACCATCAAAACTTGCATGCAAAAGGTAATGCATTACATAATGCATTAGATCAAAATATTTCTCATTCATTCTTTTATTAGTATACAAAAAACAAAATCTATATACACAATACAAAGAAAGTTATAACAATTTTAAAACAGTAGGTGTTCATGTTTTTTGTACCCTCAAAAAAAAAAAAAAATGTAGGGCCAGGGTAGACAATTCTAGAAGAAATTTGATGGGGTAATGTTGAGATATTGAGTGCTTCCGCATGTGTGTATTGAAATAAGGACAAACACATACGTAGGGAAAAATACTGGTATATCTGAAGAGGTATTTACAACAGAGAGATTAGTAGTCAAACGAACGCAGATTAGTCAGTAACAATCAGAAAGAGTATAAAGTCCAACTGTATCTCCCAGTAGAGAGACGGAAATGTAATGGTCACCTGATCTCCCAGAACTCTATAGAACTATCCTATTAGTAGTAGAGAGATCAGTCCATTCTGATGAGAAGGTGGGTGTGCCCCAACAGGTAAAGGTTAATATTAATCTTTAATCTAAATTCTGTCAAATTAACTCTGTATATTAAGATAAACTTTTTTTTGTCATGTACTGGATATTTTCTGCTCCTATTGTATATTGAAGAAACCCTTAAAGATAAAATAATTACAGCATAACAAATAAATGAATCTAATAAATGTTTTTTGTGAAACAAAAAACAAACAAACAAAATGGCTACTTTACCTTCGAGTAAGATAGAGTTTTCCATTCTTAAATGCAGCAGTCAAACTTTTATCTTTGTTGATCAATGCACACCGTCTCCCACCATGCCAACCTAGACAAGAGAAATATTGATATGCATTTGATTTGGGGGGAGAAATACTAATGAAATAAGGGAAGTTAATTTTGACAATGTTAAATTCATATAAAAACTAGTTGAGCTTCAGGAAAGCCGATGGACAAAAAAAGCAAAAAAGGATAAAAAGGAAAAGAAAAAGGGAGAAAAGAAATAATGGTGAAAAGAAAATAGGAGGAGAAAAGAAAAAGGAGAAAAAAAAAATAATGTTGAAAAGAAAAAAAAGGAGAAAAAAATAATGGTGAAAAGAAAAAAGGAGAAAAATGAAATAAAAAGTGAAAAGAAAAAAAAAGAAAAAGGAGAAAAGAAATAATGGTGAAAAGAAAAGGAGGGAAGAAATAATGGTGAAAAGAAAAAAAGGAGAAAAGAAATAATGGTGGAAAAAGAAAATGGGAGAAAAAAAAATGGGTGAAAAGAAAAAAGGAGAAAAAAATAATTGTGAAAAGAAAAAGGAGAAAAGAAATAATGGTGAAAAAAAAAAAAATGAAAAGAAATAATGGTGAAAAGAAAAAGGAGAAAAGAAATAATGGTGAAAAGAAAAAAGGAGAAAAGAAATAATGGAAAAGAAAAAAGGAAAAAGAAATAATGGTGAAAAGAAAAAAGGAGAAAAGAAATAATGGTGAAAAGAAAAAAAGGAGAAAAGAAATAATGGTGAAAAAAAAGGAAAAAAGAAATAATGGAAAAGAAAAGAAAAAAAGAAATAATGGTGAAAAGAAAAAAGGAGAAAAGAAATAATGGTGAAAGGAAAAAAGGAGAAAAGAAATAATGGTGAAAAAGAAAAAGGAGAAAAGAAATAAATAATGGTGAAAAAGAAAATAGGAGAAAAGAAATAATGGTGAAAAGAAAAAGGAGAAAAGAAATAATGGTGAAAAAAAAATAGAAAAAGGAGAAAAGAAATAATGAAAAGAAAAAAGGAAAAAGAAATAATGGTGAAAAATAAAATAGGAGAAAAGAAATAATGGTGAAAAAAAAAAGGAGAAAAGAAATAATGGTGAAAAGAAAATAGGAGAAAAGAAATAATGGTGAAAAGAAAAAAGGAGAAAAGAAATAATGGTGAAAAAGAAAATAGGAGAAAAGAAATAATGGTGAAAAAGAAAAAAGAGAAAAAGAAATAATGGTGAAAAAAGAAAAAAAGGAGAAAAAAGAAATAATGGTGAAAAAGAAAAAAAGGAGAAAAGAAATAATGGTGAAAAAGAAAAAAAGGAGAAAAGAAATAATGGTGAAAAGAAAAAGGAGAAAAATGGAAATAATGGTGAAAAGAAAAAAAAGAGAGAAAAGAAATAATGGTGAAAAAAAAAAGGAGAAAAGAAATAATGGTGAAAAGAAAAAAGGAGAAAAAAATAATGGAAAAAGAAAAAATGGTGAAAAATGGAAAAAAAATAAGAAAAGAAATAATGGTGAAAAGAAAAAAGGAGAAAAGAAATAATGGTGAAAAGAAAAAAGGAGAAAAGAAATAATGGTGAAAAGAAAAAAAAGGAGAAAAGAAATAATGGTGAAAAAGAAAAAAGGAGAAAAATGAAAAAATGGTGAAAAATGAAAAAAAAGGAGAAAAGAAATAATGGTGAAAAGAAAAAGGAGAAAAGAAATAATGGTGAAAAGAAAAAAAAATAATGAAAAAGAAATAATGGTGAAAAGAAAAAGGAGAAAAGAAATAATGGTGAAAAGAAAAAAGGAGAAAAGAAATAATGGTGAAAAGAAAAAGGAGAAAAGAAATAATGGTGAAAAGAAAAAAGGAAAAAAGAAAAATGGTGAAAGAAAAAGGAGAAAAGAAATAATGGTGAAAAGAAAATAGAGAAAAAAATAATGGTGAAAAGAAAAAATAATGAAATAATGGTGAAAAAAGAAAAAAAAAAGGGAGAAAAAAAAAGAAATAATGGTGAAAAGAAAAAAGGAGAAAAGAAATAATGGTGAAAAAAGAAAAAAGAAATAATGGTGAGAAAAAAAAAATAATGGTGAAAAAAAATAGAAAAGAAAAAAGAAAAAAAAAAAAAGGAAAAGAAAAAAAAAGAAATAATGGTGAAAAGAAAAAAGGAGAAAAGAAATAATGGTGAAAAGAAAAAAGGAGAAAAGAAATAATGGTGAAAAGAAAATAGGAGAAAAGAAATAATGGTGAAAAGAAAAAAGGAGAAAAGAAATAATGGTGAAAAGAAAAAGGAGAAAAGAAATAATGGTGAAAAGAAAAAAGGAGAAAAGAAATAATGGTGAAAAGAAAAAAGGAGAAAAGAAATAATGGTGAAAAGAAAAGAGGAGAAAAGAAATAATGGTGAAAAGAAAAAAGGAGAAAAGAAATAATGGTGAAAAGAAAAAAGGAGAAAAGAAATAATGGTGAAAAGAAAAAAGGAGAAAAGAAAATGGTGGAGAAAAAGAAAAGAAATAATGAAAAGAAAAAAGGAGAAAAGAAATAATGGTGAAAAGAAAAAAAGGAAAGAAAAAAAAATAATGGTGAAAAGAAAAAGGGAGGAAAAAAAAAGAAATAATGGTGAAAAAAAAAAAAAGGAGAAAAAGAAATAATGGTGAAAAAGAAAAAGGAGAAAAAGAAATAATGGTGAAAAAGAAAAAGGAGAAAAGAAATAATGGTGAAAAAAAAAAGGAGAAAAGAAATAATGGTGAAAAAGAAAAAAGAAATAATGGAAAAGAAAAGAAAAGAAATGGTGAAAAGAAAAAAAGGAGAAAAAAAATAATGGTGAAAAGAAAAAGGAGAAAAAGAAATAATGGTGAAAAGAAAATAAAGAGAAAAGAAATAATGGTGAAAAGAAAAAGGAGAAAAGAAATAATGGTGAAAAGAAAAAAGGAGAAAAGAAATAATGGTGAAAAGAAAAAAAGGAGAAAAGAAATAATGGTGAAAAGAAAAAAAATTGAGAAAAGAAATAATGGTGAAAAGAAAAAGGAGAAAAGAAATAATGGTGAAAAAAAAAAAAAAGGAGAAAAGAAATAATGGTGAAAAAAAAAAAAAGGAAAAAAGAAATAATGGTGAAAAGAAAAAAGGAGAAAAGAAATAATGGTGAAAAGAAAAAAAAAAAGAAAAGAAATAATGGTGAAAAGAAAAAGGAGAAAAGAAATAATGGTGAAAAAGAAAATAGGAGAAAAGAAATAATGGTGAAAAAGAAAAAAAGGAGAAAAGAAATAATGGTGAAAAGAAAAAAAAGGAAAAAGAAATAATGGTGAAAAGAAAAAAGGAGAAAAGAAATAATGGTGAAAAGAAAAAAAGAGAAAAGAAATAATGGTGAAAAGAAAAAGGGAGAAAAGAAATAATGGTGAAAAAGGAAAAAAATAATGGAGAAAAGAAAAAAGGAGAAAATGGTGAAAAGAAAAGGAGAAAAGAAATAATGGTGAAAAGAAAAAGGGAGAAAAAAGAAAGAAATAATGGTGAAAAGAAAAAGAAATAATGGAGAAAAGAAAAAATGGTGAAAAATGAAAAAAAAAAAGAGAAAAAGAAATAATGGTGAAAAGAAAAAGGAGAAAAAGAAATAATGGTGAAAAAAAAAAGAAAAAGAAATAATGGTGAAAAGAAAAAAGGAGAAAAGAAATAATGGTGAAAAGAAAAAAAGGAGAAAAGAAATAATGGTGAAAAAGAAAAAGGAGAAAAGAAATAATGGTGAAAAGAAAAAGAGAAAAGAAAAAAAAAAAAAGGAGAAAAGAAATAATGGTGAAAAAGAAAAAGGAGAAAAGAAATAATGGTGAAAAGAAAAAAGGAGAAAAGAAATAATGGTGAAAAGAAAAAAGGAGAAAAGAAATAATGGTGAAAAGAAAAAAGGAGAAAAGAAATAATGGTGAAAAGAAAAAAGGAGAAAAGAAATAATGGTGAAAAGAAAAAGGAGAAAAGAAATAATGGTGAAAAGAAAAGAGGAGAAAAGAAATAATGGTGAAAAGAAAAAAGGAGAAAAGAAATAATGGTGAAAAAAAAAAGGAGAAAAAGAATAATGGTGAAAAGAAAAAGGAGAAAAAGAAATAATGGTGAAAAAAGAAAAAAAAGAAAAGAAATAATGGTGAAAAGAAAAAAAAAAGGAGAAAAGAAATAATGGTGAAAAGAAAAAAAGGAGAAAAGAAATAATGGTGAAAAAAAAAAGGAGAAAAGAAATAATGGTGAAAAGAAAAAAGGAGAAAAGAAATAATGGTGAAAAGAAAAAAAAAGGAGAAAAGAAATAATGGTGAAAAAGAAAAAGGAGAAAAGAAATAATGGTGAAAAGAAAAAGGAGAAAAGAAATAATGGTGAAAAGAAAAAAGGAGAAAAAGAAATAATGGTGAAAAAGAAAAAAGGAGAAAAAGAAATAATGGTGAAAAGAAAAGGGAGAAAAGAAATAATGGTGAAAAGAAAAAAGGAGAAAAGAAATAATGGTGAAAAGAAAATAGGAGGAAAAGAAAAAAAAAAAAGAAATAATGTTGAAAAGAAAAAAGGAGAAAAGAAATAATGGTGAAAAGAAAAGAGGAGAAAAGAAATAATGTTGAAAAGAAAAAAAAAGAAAAAGAGAGAAAAGAAATAATGGTGAAAAGAAAAGAGGAGAAAATAATGGTGAAAAGAAAAGAGGAGAAAAAAAATAATGGTGAAAAGAAGAAAGGAGAAAAGAAAAGAGGAGAAAAGAAATAATGGTGAAAAGAAAAGAGGAGAAAAGAAATAATGGTGAAAAGAAAAAAGAAGAAAAGAAATAATGTTGTAAAGAAAAAAGGAGAAAAGAAATAATGTTGAAAAGAAAAAAGGAGAAAAGAAATAATGGTGAAAAGAAAAAGGGAGAAAAGAAATAATGGTGAAAAGAAAAAAGGAGGAAGGAAATAATGGTGAAAAGAAAAAGGGAGAAAAGAAATAATGGTGAAAAGAAAAGAGGAGAAAAGAAATAATGTTGAAAAGAAAAAAGGAGAAAAGAAATAATGGTGAAAAGAAAAGAGGAGAAAATAATGGTGAAAAGAAAAGAGGAGAAAAAAAATAATGGTGAAAAGAAGAAAGGAGAAAAGAAAAGAGGAGAAAAGAAATAATGGTGAAAAGAAAAGTGGAGAAAAGAAATAATGGTGAAAAGAAAAAAGAAGAAAAGAAATAATGGCGAAAAGAAAAAAGAAGAAAAGAAATAATGGTGAAAAGAAAAGAGGAGAAAAGAAATAATGGTGAAAAGAAAAGAGGAGAAAAGAAAAACAATACCTTGTAATGGGTTTTCACTATGAGGAAGATTGAAAAGTTCACAGAATGATTTATCATTGTCAGTCATAAAATCCATGGTTTGGTCAATCTCTTCTTTATCTTCAAACTGATTCAATGGAAGAATATGCTGTGAAAGAGAAAATAGATTGCAATTGATTCTTTGCAACATCAATGTATAAAATGTCTGAAATAATCTGTTATTGTTTCAAGTTTCAAAAAACAATTTTTCAACTAGTATTTTTATTTTAAATGACTCCAATCCTTTCATTTCAAATAAATAAAAGAAAACAAAAGCAATCATTGTATGTGGTTTTCTTTGAATTAATTTCCTTGCTCTTGTTGCTGGTTTCACAATATTCTGGAGCACAATAGATACCTGGGGAAGATTGGAAAGAACTCACATAAAACATTAGGAAAAATAAGAAAAAAGATGAGGAAATTAGTTTGAATAAAACAAGACACTTGCCTAACAAAAAAAAAATAAGATAATGAAAAGCATCCTTGCATGTCATTTTTTGATGATTAATATTGAGTAAATTTTTAAATCTTTAATTCTACACTGACAAGTGAAAAAAAACAAACTGTATAGCACTAAATCAGTAAGGTGAGTAGGACAAAGTCTAGAATCCAACTTTGTATAAGAATGTGAACCAGCTTTTGTTGGTGTCATATATTCAAGTATCCACATTTTTATTTTGAAGAAATTTAGACATTTAAAAAGGCACTCATCACAATTAGCTTAAAAATCATTTTATTATTCATTACTGGGTTTTATACAGAAATATGAAAGAACAGATTAATAAATACCATTGGTAAGGAAACCATGAACTTCTCTCATAAATGTTGTTATTAGTAGCTTTTGTATAAATTTCTGGGACTATTCAGTCATTTTTTTTAACTAGTATTTTACTCTTTATTGTCTTTATCACACTACAGGGTTATTCAAAAAGAAAAAGCAGATTTCGATATTAGCTGAAATACAAATGCTAAAAGATAGGAAAGGGTTCAAAATTATTAAAATAAATGTAAATCTTTTTCAATCTTGTTTAAATGCTTCATTTTGTTGCTTTTTTTTTCAGATTTTTAATAAATTTAAATTGTTATAATTTGTGTCAACCCTTAAAATGGCCACATCAGAAGAAAAGTCATTTTATGTACTACAATTTGTGAAGAGTAACTTTAAAATAACAAACTTTGAACCTTTTCCTATCCAGTAATGTGTTTCTGTTTCTTAAAATTTGTTTTTATTAAATTTTCAAAATCTGTTCGTTCTTTTTAAATAACCCTGTATTTCAGCCAACATCAAAATCTGTTCGTTCTTTTTAAATAACCCGGTATTTCAGCCAACATCAAAATCTGTTCCTTCTTTTAAATAACCCGTATTTCAGCCAACATCAAAATCTGTTCCTTTCTTTTAAATAACCCGGTATTTCAGCCAACATCAAAATCTGTTCGTTCTTTTTAAATAACCCGGTATTTCAGCCAACATCAAAATCTGTTCGTTCTTTTTAAATAACCCGGTATTTCAGCCAACATCAAAATCTGTTCGTTCTTTTAAAATAACCCGGTATTTCAGCCAACATCAAAATCTGTTCGTTCTTTTAAAATAACCCGGTATTTCAGCCAACATCAAAATCTGTTCCTTCTTTTTAAATAACCTTGTATTTCAGCCAACATCAAAATCTGTTCCTTCTTTTTAAATAACCCGGTATTTCAGCCAACACCAAAATCTGTTCATTCTTTTTAAATAACCCGGTATTTCAGACAACATCCTCACCAGCCTTTCTCATTTCAACATCATATACAATAATCATTAAGGAATTTTGATTGAAATCCTTTATTTCATCCTGGACATATATGAATAACACCTGACAAAATCTCTGAAACACAATGGTAAAAACAACAGAGATGAGGCGGCTAGTTCAAAAGAATCTAAAAATCGCCATCAGTCTCATGACCACATGTTGTCATAAGGTCATTGTGTTGCTGAGCACCTGGTGGAGCCCATCTCTCTCAGGTCAAACCACAGCCAATGTCCTTGAAACTGAAAGCTTGCTTTTGTCACAGATGCCATTGATTCAATTTGGTAGGTGGTGGGGGGACCCTTGCTTGGCTGTTGGCTTCAATCTAGGAAGCCATCTCTGTTCATCAATGTCAGGTTTATCACCACACTGGCTGCATCCATACCTATGGATCCCAGTTTACCTCATTGTGCTAAATGGCTGATGATCCCTACAAGAAGGTGTATCTTCCCTTTTGACAGGCTTTATTTTTAATCCCGTTGAGTGCCTAGCCACAGGTGAGGAAACTGGTTTAGTCACCAATGACCTGACCATGTGTCAGGTAATGCTGAGTTACATCTAAAAGCCCCAAATAGTAAATAATATTTTCTTTCTGTTGAATACTATTCCATCTCAGTAACATTTTCATTTAGATGATACCATTTTTAATTCTCCAACTGGAAATTGATTGATTGATTGTTTGTTTTACAGCTTATCAACCCTTTATGGCTTATTTAAAGCAGAAACATTTTGGATTGTAAGAATAATTAATTTGCAAATGAATATCGCATTAACAACTTTTTTCCAGATACAAGTCCTACTGTTTAACCCATACCTGGGGAAAAATAGATGGATTCATACTTTCCCAATGATATTTGCATATAAGTGCACTCAATGGGATAATTAATTTAGCTCATTCTAATACTAGATTTAGTCAAGATTGTTTTTTTTAGTTTTTTTTTTTTTTTTTTTAATGGTTTATCAAAACTTTATGGGTTATTTAAAGCCAAAACATATTTTGAATTCTAAAAAGAATACTTTTTTGCAAGGATAGCAATGATTTTTACAGATAAAAGTCCAATTATTTAACCCATATCTGAAGGTAGAGATGGATTCATACCTTTCCCAAGGATATTTGCCCTTATGAATGTAATGATGCCAAGTGGAATTTCAACTTGACTCTTCAATTCTAGCATTTCTGTTTCATCCACTTTCCCCACTGCCATAACATAGCTTCCTTATGCCATTTCTAAAAAAATATTTTCATTGTAAATGTTCTGATGAACCTTCTTCTTTGATACCTAGACTTTATGAATTTAAGCACAGTACGGTGGAGTAATGGATAGTAGTTTGAATTGAGGAATCAGAGAGCTGAGTTTGAATTCCAATCAAATCAATTACATCCACATATGTGCTAATACCATTGGGAAAGGTATGAATCCTCTTCTTCTCCCCCAGCTATGGGTAAATAGCAGGACAGACCAGGTTCTATACCCTTGGATGGCAACTGATCTACCGCAGAAAGAATCTGTAAAAAGACTAAAAGAATACAGACAAAAGTAAATTTATCTTAGCCGACAATGTTTCATCCACTGATTTGCCTTGATAAAGTCCATCAGAAGATGAAATGTGTTGGCTAAGATAAGTTTCCCTTTTGTCTTTATTCATATTAGTAAGGAGGCACGGTGGAGTAATAGATAGTGGCTCAGATTAAGAAAGCAGAGAGACGAGTTCAAATTGCAGTTGAATCCATTACATTCACTTACGTGCTAATACCCTTGAAAAAGGTATGAATCCTTTTCTCCCCCCAGCTATGGGTAAAATAGCAGGACAGACTGGATTCTATAGCCTTGGATGGCAACTGGTCTACCACAGAAAGAAATGACAACCTACTGTGGGAAAAAATCTGCCTCGTCAGTCATGTATCAAAAGATACACGATCACCTACATGTGTATCATACATGGCAGATAACTGACTGACTGACTAGATTGGCAGAAAGGTCTCATCATTTTACAGTTGAAATGGTTCTTTACTAACAGTTCTTTTCTTGCACTTCTCACTTGTGGAACTCCCTTTTGGCTTCTTGCTTTCCAGTCAAATTTGCATTTAAATTTTTGAAGATCAATGTCAATGGTTAACTTCTGTCATCTTAATTCCTGTTCTTTTATTGTTTTCTCTCTTTAAGAGAATTTCTTCTTTTCTTATAGTCTTCCACACTCCTTGTATCTTAGTGGCTTTATTGCCGTGCTTGAAGTGAAATGATAAAAAAAGCCACTATCCAATTAAACCACCTACAGATCCTCCAAATGAAGAAAAAAATCTTGGTAATATCATCATGATCAGCATCTGATGCAATGGAATAACCTGTCACCCCCATGAGCGACTACACTATAGGTAGTAACTACCTATAAGTATCTGTAAGGCAACAGACTACAGGAGCCTAGCTGGGATCTGTTGAGTATGACTCAGACTAACACGAGAACTACCGACATTCCAATAGTAGCACTCACTACTGGATTGATTTACGACAACCTTATGCAAAACTGTTACCTAATTTCTTATTGTACTGGTTATTACAATAAACCTTTACTTATTTTATCCACCTAGTTTGTCAAGTATAGATTCCTGTTAGCATGGAATCCTAACTGTAGCTAATTATATAATATAGCAATGGTGATCATTTTGAAAATATTACTATAAGTTTTTGATTAATAAGTGACTTAAAACAACTTTTAACTAGCACTGTTTCTACATAATATAAAAGTGATATAAATATCATTTCTCCCGCATGTGTTGAAAAATGTGGCTTATGGTTTGTTTTTTGTTTTTTTATCAAATACTATTTATAATCTGATAATTTTTTTTAAATAAGCTAAAACAAGTTAAATATAGAAAAGATTTTAAAAAATTTGCTGAAAAAATCATTTAACAGGAAATGCTTTTTCATATCTCCATGATCACTTTACAGCTGTCTAGTTACCAAGATTTGTCCCTCTAAGATGCATCGCCTCCTTTCATTAAGAAAGGTAGAGTCAGGTCAATCCCTAATGCCAGAGGTATGCTAAAAGTAATTGAACAATTTTGTCTCTACTGAGGGTTGTATAAATATGCCACACACAGAGAGAAGTTACTCCTTATATGCTATGCCGCATGTGAGTAACAACCACAGCAAAAGATTTTGCCACATCAAAAAAGAGAACATAAAACCCTAGCAAGACTAAAAAGCCACACTTTCATTGCCCATATCTGAGGATGAATCAAGCGATGAAGTTGCTTGAAATTGTGTCACAGCCATCATTTTTTGTACATCTACTTTGTACAAAATGTGCCACAAGGTTGAGTTTA